TCTACTTCATTTATCCTCCCTGTATAATTCACAAGCACTGGTGATGGGCCAAGCTGCAGTATGATGTAAATTGTGATGTGCAATTGTTTTGGCAGGGAAGCTGACAGCAGATATACAGTCAACCTCCGCCCCTGCCTTGCCAGCTAAGTCATACTGGGACTGTTAGTGCTGAAGTTGTTGGACTGTAGAGAAGCAGCTACGTGAAGTGGTAACGATGCACGAGAACCTGTGAACAGAGCTTGTGCATACAGCACCTACTGATCTGGTTCTTTAGTTCTTCTCCATTTCATTTCTGGTGGAAATGATGCTAATGGTCAAAACCCATCAAATCCTCTGGTAAGCTGAAGGCACTCAGCATTACTCAGCCTCTGGTGATTTTGGGGCTGAATCTGAAGAAAGCAAATACAGCACAACAGAGGACAATGCCCTCAGGGCTTCATGCTAGTGCGGAACGGTTGTATCTGTGGGAGATGAAAGTAGGGACCATAGCAGTAGGGAGTGGTCAAAAACTGTTCCCTGAGTGAAGGACATGGGCAATGCTCATGTAGCAGAAGTACTGCGTGCCCAGAGACACTCTCTAGTATACCAAGGAACTTTGCTGCAATGCTGGAAATGAGCTGAGTCTATGAGGTGTCATCATGTCTATTACTCAAGAGACCCGTGGACACCCTCTTTTATCCTGTCCTAGGAACCATGAAAAGCTACAATTTCTTCGAACCATGGAACACTAGTAGAAATCAGTATTAAATGGTGGCCAGGTCTAGGATGCCACAAGACAGATCTCACATTTTAGTCTGAAAAGGTCTGAGTGACTATCATTTTCCCATGCCATCTGAAATACTTCATAATCTAACTGAAATTGTTCATTAACAACACTAGTGGAAATAAAATTTGTCCTCCTCAGCAGCTGTTTTGAAGAAAGGAGCTTTCATCTGGCATCTGGAAGCAGCAAGCCAAATGCTACAACCAGGCTGACCTCCTGGCCACCCACAGGTACCATGGGTGGTCCCATCTGTGCAAATACAGAACTTCATGCTGCAAGTGCAGGTGAATAATTGGAGTCGAAACCTGACCTAGTCTGCTTTGCACAATCATTTTAATATAGTTTAAGTAGCATCAGGCTACTCTACCACAACAGCTCAAAAAACCTTGATGTAGACATATGCAGGATTATACCTGAGATACAATATTTGCAGTTCACTCCCCTCATCTGGTCTTTGTTTTTCTCTGCCACACTCAGCCCAATTCAAGCCAAACGCAGTATTTCTTATGAATGTCATTAGAAGTTACAAATGAAATCTTAGATGTTGGAGATGGATAAGGGTCCACAAAAAAGACTGCTGTCTGAGGGTGAAGGAAATCCCACAGGACCACTGCTTCTGGGAGTGAGCACCCTTTGCTCCCTGCTGCCTCAGCCTTTACCTGCTTTAATGTCATTACCATCTCCATGAGCTAAAAAACGTAAGTGTTGATTACTGTATCTTGTCACAGTAGGCATCACAGGAACAAGCCAAACTACAAAGGCAGAAAAGAAAGCCTGGTCTTACAGCATCCCTTTAATAACAGTAAAGTCTGATGTTTATAGAGTAAAAAGGTAAACAGAGCAAAAAAACTAAGCTGAGAGTCCAGCTTGCTTGAATGCTCCATCCCTTCTCACTGGGATCACTGGGCAGTGGCAGTTAGTAGGAGTCCATGTCCACTGGAGACAACCTGTGCGCTCTTGTTAAACTGCAACAACTTTGGAAAAGACCTCTTTTCCAAACCAGGGTGGGCTCAGTTTGATGTAACTTTATTGGGTATCATCTCTGACACAGCCCACGGAATGTGTACTTACTGAAAATGAGGTGTTTTCTCATGCTGCTGAGGGATACAGAAATGAGAACAGAAAGAAGCCACATCATGGTACATCATGGTAATGTTTTACACCACAAAAGTAATGTTCCTCATTTATTTTCCAATTTTGAAACAGATTGGTTCTTATCTGGCATTTAAATACTCATTAATCTTTTGAGGAAAAAACCCATGTAGTAGATAATCATGATTGAAGGAAAGAGAGAACTTAAAAATACATACATACACAAAGACAAGAAACATGTCAACACCACTTTACCACTTTTGTATTTTATTGTGGAACTGAGTTTGTTTCCTTTACATCAAATATCCTCAATGGAAGAGGGGATATTGCACACAAATATCATAAAAGCACTACATATTACTTTCACTGGAAACTAATTTTCTACATTAGATATGACTGGATAGAAGTGATGCAAGATTATAAGACATAATACCATACACAGCTGCAGACTGACACAAACACCATTCAGAACAAGAGAGAGGAGGTGTGTGAGGTGCTTCTCAGCCAGCAACAAGACTGTTTCTTTCCATAGTTTGAAAGATAATGGCTGCATGCAAATGCATGAAAGCATATTTCAGATTTCCTCTTTTAAAGTTGTGATTACAGCCCAGTCTTGAAGAGGTAGCTCCTGCCATTTAGAGCTCCTAGCTAGTCTAGTGAAGAGAAGCTGCTTTTTAAATTATTCTTATTTCTTTCTATATTTTTATACCACTGTTTTATTTAGTTACTTAAGTTTTTTAGATTTTTTTTGTAAAGTCACAACAAACAGGCTTTTTTTCTTTTTTTATTTTAAATAGCAAACATTTTTAAACCAGGTGAATAATATAATTGCATTCTAAGAAATGCTTACCCCTAGTTGCTTTTAGTGTTTTGTTCAATTATTAAGTGAAAAGATGCAAGCTTACAGTTTCTTTCAAATGGAAACGTTTTTTTCCTTTTCTAATAAATCCAGACCAACAAAATTACTATTTCTCTCAAAACATCATTACTGAGCAAGAACCTCTGGTGACAGATGAACAAAGAGAAGCATATGACAGAAATGTCCCAAATGCACAGTAAGCACTCTTTGGAGCTGACTTGCTTGTAGTGGGAGGGATTGAAAATTCAATTAACAAATTGATTAAATCTTAGTAAATGAGTATCAGAACTCTCCTAAAATGCATAAACTATCATAGACAATTAAAAAACCCCAACATTCATATACACAGTTATCTCCATTCACCACAGTATGTAAAGTAAGTAAAAAAAATTAATCAAAAGTGATTTCTATGAAAGATGGGGTGAAAATAGAGGTCAATGAAGTCAGGCCCACCACAGGACTTTGAAAAGGCATGCAAGAGAGGCCCTCTCCAAGTTCAGGAGTGGGATAGGATCCCCATAGTTAATTCTTCATTGAATTATATGAACCAGTATAGTAATAGCATAAAGATCATGACTGGGGATGCTGTTATGGGAAATACCATCATTTAAATGGAGTGTCCTTTACACTCAGATATTGAATATTTATAATCAGAGTAATCAATAACAAACCATGCTCCTAGAAATCTATGCTGATCAACAGCACTCATCGTTAATGTACACGGTACATTTTGATGACTCTTATACTAAACCAATTGTGTAGTACTAGGACTAGCACAGTTAGATTAGCTCAACAGGCAGGAAAGACATTCAGGGCAAGAGGAGCTAATGGAGAAATTCATCACTGTGTTTTATCCAGGCGCCATTGTCATTTGAAAGGGAATGGATGAAATAGGCATTAAAATACCTTAGAATAGCCAGACTGGGGTTTTAATTATTGTAGCAGCAAAAAAGTGAATGTACATTTTAAGATCAGCTATAACAGTCTAAATATTACTATTATTTTAGAAGTAAAACAAATGTGTGAGCCATCACAAACTTGCTTGGGGAGACTTAAGGCTTGATTCCAATTTCATTTACAGTAGGACCAAATGACTGTAACTTCCGTGACTGTAGTGAAATTACTCCTGATTCACAGGAGTGGCATAAGTGAGATTAGTCTAAGGACCATTTCTGTATTTAAAACAGATTTTCTACCAAAGCAGAGATACAAACCATTTCAGATATTGTCAGAAAATCTGTTCCCACCCACTCAAAAAGTTTGAAATCTGACCTATAGAAGAAAGTAGACAAAGCAAAATTATAGAAATAGTACAACTGTTCTGCCAAACATTTTGCCTATAGCTTTGTAGACTATGTATTACAAAAACAGTTTTAGGTGAATGATGAGCCCAGCAAACATGCTTGTTTTCACAATACATTGCCATCTGCCTTTTGTGCCGTAGTCATTGTGAGTTATTCTCAATGACTTAAAAGTTATAGTAATAAATAAAATAGCATTGCTAGAGATACCTGGAAAAAAGAGAAACATTAAAAATAAATCAAACCCCTCAACTACTGACAAACAGTAATTCACAGCATTAAATGGGCCTCAGGAGCCCACATTTAAAGAACCCTAAAGCAGTATTAAAAAAAAAACCCTCATAAAAATTAGGAGTGCAAAAACATATACCTATTAAACAAAAATATCCTAACAATTTAAAATTGAAATAAATTATAAGTAAAGAAAATAAAATTAGGTTGTAGTTCACTACATTGTGAAACTTAATACCAGCCATAATGGTGAATCGTACAGACCAGCACTTATCTCCGTTCTGGAAGCCTTTTTACCTTCTGTAAATTCAGATTTGCAAACCAGATTCTACAATGTAACTAGATTTTTTAAATTGGGGTATTACTTCTGTGACTAAAAAATCCAAATTGTCTTAAATCAGAGAACAGTGATGCTGTTCCTCTGCAAGCAGTCTAGAGAAGGAAAGGAAGGAGGAGAGGACGGAGTAAAAGAAGAGTAATGGAGGAGGAGGGGAGAGGAGGGGAGAGGGAAGGGAAGGGAAGGGAAGGGAAGGGAAGGGAAGGGAAGGGAAGGGAAGGGGACTAATGCAGATCT